TATCACTTCAGCCTTGTAAAGGTGATGGGACAATTAAAATGAAGGTGGAACAGGAATAAGGAAAGTAGATGTGAAAGTCTATTCAGTTTGAGAATGTTCAGTTAGTAGGGCCTGGATTCATCTCAGTTTATTTGTTTTGGCTAACAACTAAAGGAAGTTTTAAACTATTTGGTTATAATGGAGGACTGAGACAGCCCTGGAGGACTAGAGGAAATTAATGTTAAACCCATTTATATAAAGCAGGACTTACAGGCTAGATGATAGAGTTTGGATTCTTGAAAACTACTGGGACAACCTGTTAAACATCTAATTTCTATGGAACTGCAATACTCATAGGATGACTAATAAATTCATGAGGAGTCTTTATTAGAAAAAAAAAGTTTTAAATTAAATTTTAAAAGCCTTGTTGGTTTGTTGACCCAGAAAAGAGGAAGACTAAGATTGCTAGGCTTTAGTAATGGTATTGATACTCCAATGCTGCGTCCAAGCAAACGGTCCTGTGGAAAAGCTTGCTGAGCTTAACAGGTTACAAGAGGAGACTGTGTGTCTTCTAGTGATTTCTGACAGACAAAGCTGTTTTGCAGGGATGCTGAAGGCCGTTTTCTAGGGGACAGGACCATGCTCTGGGTGCAGTCTGGAAGCAACACCCTTTTACCTGGTCACAGCTTGGTGGGCAGCACTGCCAGGGACTGTGTTGCTGCCACACTAGCGTGCCCTGGCACTCGGGGACAGCTCGTGAGCCAAAGGTCTGCCATCCGTTGCTCACCTGACAGCTCCTCACCAAGCTTCCACACATCCACAAAGGCAGAGGTGGTTCCAATGGGAGGAACCTGCTGCCCAGACACATGTGCTCCTGCTTATTCAGTGCCGAGACAGGGAAAGTAGCAGGAGTAGCTGCTCACTTTCAGCAGCTCTCTGCTGCAGCACGTGTTCCTTGGCCACTTCTTGCTACTACAGCTCCTCTTTTATGTGCATCTGACAAGGGTTCCTGCTTCTTGACTGGTGCTTTTTTGCATGAAATGTCCTGTGTGCGTTGCAAACAGTCAGGGTGAGTACGGGACAGGGCGGGTGATGGTGCCAGTAACGCCTCAGGGAAACAGTCTGCACAAAGCAAAGCGGACGCTCACTTATGTAACTGGGCATCGAGTCCCCCCGTCACATCCATGCCAAAACATCACTTTGCTTTTCTGTCATTCTTTACTCAGTGGGGAAGCTTCAATGCAAATATCTCTCTGAAGAGAGAAAAGACTTGAAACAATAATCTACTGGAAAATTATACTCTTAAGATTCTAAAACATACCTTCTGTTGGTCAAGGGTGATCAGGAAAACAAATTAAGCTGTGCTTGCCAAATAAAACTTGAAAGAAATTTTAAAAAGATGGCAAGATGTAGCCTGTAAAATCTTCTGGACTGGAATAAGAGATGAATTTGCAAAGGTGTCAAGGCCACATGTCACAGCTCACACTTCCACAGATGTCTCACAAACACTTAAAGCAGAGTAATGCCTGAACAGTTTAGGCTCAGCACCAAGGTACTATGGATTTAGGAATGTTATGTGCTACTGCTCTGAACAGATAGACTTCCATGGGAAGTCTCTTCCTATCTTTATTCACTGCCTGGAAGACCAGAGGCTTTGGTCTGTGTGCTGTTGACTTGACATGGAGAAATTCTTCAGTGGAAAGTAAAGGAACAGCACAGCTGTCTCTGAACTGATTTAACATCCCTGTGTTTGCATTGTAATTCCTATGGGACAAACAGTGCCCTGATATTATTTATTCATCTTTTGGTTTTGTTTTGTTTTTCTTTTTTTCCTCAGACATAAAGAACCACCACAATCTAAGGAGGCTGGAAAAAGGCTTATCTAGTCATTTCTCAGTGGGACACATGGCAGAAACCAAAGCCTCCAGGCACAGCTTCCCCAATTCAGCTTCTGCAGACGGGGTAAGTGCTGTTCAGGGTATAGAAAAGGAGGCTCAAGTTCTGCTCCTCTTTCCATGTGTAGTAGTAATAACACAAAGGATAAAGTCAAGCATCAGTCATGCAGCGGACTGCAAACTGGCAGTATTTCCCAGAAATTGGAGCAAAAGCAAAAGAATTTGCTTCTGGGGTTAACCATGTGTTGCTTAAATAAAAATTCTGCAACGTGTAGCAATCGTTACAGCCTTCTTCAGGCACAACCAGCTCTTTTCCAGCACATGCTCACTGGAGCTGAAGTGTTTAGCAGCTTCAAACAAGGGCAATTTACCTAGTGGTATGTAGCCTAGAAAAGTCTAAGATTTACTTTATGGAATCAGCAGCAGAGTACACGAAATATCAATGTAAAGGTCAAACACAGCATGTCAGGAGCCAGCACACAGGTACCCTTTTAAGGCAGTATGGCACCAGGCCAAACGAAAATTACATTTTTCCTCCGTGAGGGGAGCAAGACAGAAAAATAGAGTTTTTCTTTGCCTTTCTCCATGACTGAAGCCCACAAACCCACGGTCTGCCCTGGCTGTACAGGAAAAAGCAACCAGCTTGTTTCTGACTGTGTCATGACACGCAGCCTCACATATGGCTTGTCCAGTTCCCCTGGCAGCCTGGGGCACACAGCCAGACAGTTGTGACCCATCCCAGCCTGTGCAGGATCAGGGTAACAGCTGAAAACAAGACCTGCTAGCAGCAAACCTGCCTGAGCGGGTGTTGGCTGCCAGGGCTCTCTCCTCAGTGAGCCTCAGCTCCCGCGTGAGGGGCAAGCTGCAAGGAACAGTTCTGGGCACCTGGGCATGCCCAGCAGCCTGTTCCCCACATTAACAAGATCCTCAAGTCAGCTTGGACCCCACAAGCAATGCTGTTGGTGGCAAAGCTGATAAATAATGTTTTCCCCTTTGATCAGAGGTGCCATGCAGAGCTCTGGGTAGCAGTGCCTCCTTCTCCTCCCATTTTTTGAGAAAGCTGGGAGGGGTGAGTGTGTGCTGCAAGGCCAGGAGCACCCTGAGAGGGCTGAAGTCCCAACAAACCAGAAAAGCAGTTGCCTCCCTTGCCTAGACTTGGGGAACACTTGCAGGATCGGCACCCAAACGCAACATCTGATGTCACACGGCATGCGAGGGCCTTCCTGCCCTGCGCTCTCCCTGCTGGACCATTCTGCCTCCCACTGTCTTTGGCCAAACTAAGCTCAAACTCTGCAACCATAAAACCCACTCTAGTCACAGGGATAGTAAAGCTTAAATGGTCTTTCACTTCCAGCTTGTGTTTTTGGACTCTCTCCCACTCTTGTACCCATGCTAAAAAAGAGCTCTTGTGCTTCAAATTTTGAATGTGTGGTCCTTGGCAACACAAATGTCATCTGGACATTTTTGTACTCAAGTATTTGCTTCTGGGATGCTTTCTGATTGCCAAGAAGCTCTAAGTTTAACCTGAAGAAGATTTCTATGTGAAAGACATGGAAAATTCCCATAGAAGAAACTGAAAGTAATTTTTTTCCTTTTAACTTACTCCTAGCTGAAGTACCTCTCAGGCAGCCAGTTTAACAAGCAGAAGCTACATCCAATAAAAGAGAGAAGTCCCAGAAATTACAATGGGTTTAGAAACCTGCCTGCTGCATGAAGCAGATGCACACAGCTAGTGTCCACACATAGCGTAGTTGATGATATACTTTGGTGACAGCTAAGAACATGTCCCATGGTCATGGGGCAAGTCCTCTTCAGAGAATTTTAAGCACTAACATCATGGCAAAGCACTGACAGCACATTGAAGCTATTTCACAGACAAGATACCCAAGGAAAGGGCAGGTCACCATTTAGACAACTTCATCACAATGGGATGCAAACACAGGGCACCACTGGTACTTGAGACAGTTGTCCAAAACCGTGGAACAAGAAGCTGGTGGTGTTCCTGGATCGTGACCTTTAGCATGGTGTGTGTTCAGCTATGTGGGTAACGCTACCCTGCGTCAACACTCAGGTGTGGTTGATCCAGTCATAATTTACCTCCAGGTGAAGGACTGGCCTCTGCTCCCAGGTTCCCCAGGCAGATCCACAGAGTTCCCTTTACTAGTCCAGCCTTTGTAATAGTAGAATAATAGAATAATTTTGGTTGGAAGAGACCTTCAAGATCATCAAATCCAACCATTAACCCAGCACCGCCAGGTCACCACTAAACCATGTCCCTCAGCACCATGTCTGTATGGCTTTTCACTCTCTCTGGGGTGATGACTTGACATGTCCTGCCACAGCCTGTGCAGAGCTTGACAACCCTTTTGGGGAAGATTTTTCCTCATGTCCAACAAAACATCCCCTGGTGCAACTTGAGGCTGTTTCCTCTTGTCCTCTCGCTTGCTCCTTGGAAGAAGGGACTGAACCCCACCTCATTCCAACCTGCTTTCAGGGTAGTTATTGAGTGAGAAGATCTCCCCTCAGCCTCCTTTTCCCCAGGCTAGACAACCCTAGGTCCCTCAGCAACGCCTCAGACGACTTGTGTCTAGTAGCCTCTGGTATTGCTGTAGTCAACTTCCCTTCCACAGAGAAAAAAAAATTTTAAAAGATATTTTTGTTGAAAAGTCTCTTCTCCAAAAGCAGGGGAAAGAAAGGAAGTGTTCAGCACTGGAACATAGCAGGCAGCATGAGCACTTCTGCCAGTGTTAGGACAAAGACACTTTGTGAACAACAAAGCCCTTAACTTATTATCTGTACTCCTGCCAGAAACCTCCAAGATTTACCTTTAACCAGTGTTTACCATATGGGTAAGGATGTGTTTACTCTATTATGCACCTGAACAGACAGAAAGGAGAGACAAGCTTTGGGAGCATCTCACAAGTATCTTTATTAGTCAGGAGGAATCTGTCTCAAAGGGTGACCCATTTCATACTTTAAATGGCATTTCATTGCAGTGCAGCTGCACCAGCCTGTGCTCTCCCTGAACAGAGGGTAGGCGTTAGCACACTGCTTATCTACACACATCAATTCCTGTATTTGTTTAGGTCTGAAGACAGTAGCTCAAGAAAAGTCTGTTTGTCTTATTCACTTGAAAAGCTTCTTTCTTTTCTTTTTCCACTGTTTGTTGTCCACATCTTCAGTATCGTCAGGAGGATCTGGTAGTACAAAGCCATCAGTCACTTTATAGTAGACTATTGTGGAATCTGACTCAACTATGGCCAAAGTAACTGACAGCGGGGTGTCAGGATCCTCTGGGGGGAGAGATGCTTTCTTCATGATTTCTCTTATCCTAGAAGAGGAAACAATCAGTTAGGAAGGAGCCCACAACCACCTAAAGGTGACACAAAGGTAGAAATGCACCAGGGCTATTTTTATTCAGCCTGGTTTTATTCTGAAAATTTGTCTTCACTAAAGGAAGCATAATATAAAAAGTTCAAAGTCCAAAAATCCAAATCTAATGAAAATTCAAAGTTGTATAATCAAGCAGCAAAATCAAATAAAAAAGTACCTTATAAAAATACACTTAAAGACATCTCTGCTGGAAATGGCTCAACACATGCTTCTGAGCTTTGCTTAAGTGTCCTACTGTGCACATGCCTTGACCATCCTTCAACAACCACAACCATACCATGGCAATCTCTAATGGCCTTGTTTGCATTAGATTAAAAACAAAAACAAAAACAAACCTAATTGAATCACATGTGATATTCAGTTAGAGACAAAATAATTCAGACTTGTTTCGTTTGTAGGGAGAAGCCTCTGTGCTACAGTTCTCTGCCAGACTGTGGAAGACCCAGGAACCCAAGCCAGGTTTCTCTACCTCCCCGTCTAGACTAGAAGCCACAAGACTAATGTTCTTCTTCAAGACCGTCAGCATAAATAACATCTTCCTTAAAAATTCAAGACAAAGTTATGCAATTTTTCCTGTCCAGCTTATTTGAAGAATAACGTGCCAGCTGCTTTCCAGTTCAGAGCCGAGGACAACACCGATTGCTTCACCTGAAGTTCGGGTGCAAGAGGGCTCATCTGGGATCGCCAGGACAGGTGAGACTCTGCGGAGAGGTCAGCTGTGCGGTGGGGAAAGTCACCCCTCAGATCCCATCCACCAGAAAACAGGCAGTTCTGAAGCTGGGCACTGTAGCTGAAAATAAGGCTCTTTCCAAATGCATCAGCTTTCAACCTTTAATCATCATCTTCCTTCGAAACCTCTTTGATCCCTTAATAAAAGCCAAATGGAAAGCAGCAGAGAACAGGCAGCAGCCTGGAAAGCCTGTGCTGTTAAGCCTGTGACCCTCTTAAGTGTCCATCTGTGTTCTGAACTGTTCATAATTCAGCTGGGCTAAATGCAGTAATGCCTTTTCTTTTGCTTTCACTGCTGGCCCATACATAATGCAAGACAAGGCAATACAACATCATTAGTCACTGCAGGCAACAGAGATACTACGGCAGTGCAAAGCCATATTCTGGTCCTCCCACCAGCAGCACATTTCAAAACAAGGAAATAAATAGTACCACAGAATAGTTTTGGTTGGAAGAGACCTTTAAGATCATTAAGTCCAACCACTAACCCAGCACTACCAGGCCACCACTCAGCACGACACCCACAGGGCTTTTCAATCCCCCCAGGGATGGCGACTCCATGACTTCCCTGGCCAGCCTGTTCCAAGCAGAAGGGATCAAACCCCACCTCACTCCAACCTCCTTTCAGGGAGCTGTTGAGAGCCTCCTGAGAGATAACCCCAGGTCTCTCAGACACTCCTCATAAGACTTGTGATCTAGACCCTTCCCCAGCTTTGTTGCCCTTCTCTGGACATAGTCCAGCAGCTCAATGTCTTCGGAGCGAGGGTCAAATGAACTAAGAGATACTGTACTGGCCACTGGCAGAAAGGAGACACCTGCAAAAGACACATTTCAGACACTGTGACATTAACTTCTTTGCTCCCTGTCAGTGCTTTGCATGTTTTCTTGGCAGGTGCCTCAACCTCAGGGCCTTTCCATGGGAGCACCAAGTGCAGGGTGGGTATTAAGGTGAGCACAAATGCAAGCCTGCCTTCCAAAGCTGTAGGTGCTCCATGGATGGAGGTGCTCTGCGACAGGAAACGCATCCCGCTGTGAGCAGTGCCTCAAGGTGAGGAACCTCCAGAGAGAGCACTGCCTAGTGAGAGGGGTCATTTGCCTGCTGAGGTGGCACCAGGAGTGCATCGCAGGGGAACGGGCTGGCACCAGGGCAAACCACCTGAACGCCTAAGGCACAGCAGTGAAGCACTGCAGCTCTCTGCTGATGCTGGGCACCTTCTGCTCTTCTGACTTCCAGCCCCTCTTCACAGGTACCTCCAGCACCACCGTGTCTTGTCATAGCTCTGGCAGGTGACGAGAGCTTAGGAAAGGATTTCAGATGTCCTTCCAGACATGCTACACACACACAGAGCGAGGTTCTAGTCATCAAACCTAAAAGCTCATGTCTGAAGGAAGCTCTGACTAAGCTGATGTCAATGGTGAGGCCAGCCTACTGGCAGAGACTGTTGAGGAAAGAACTAACCATGGCTTTTACAAAGCAGTGGATATTAATTTCTCTCTTTCTCCTTGGAATGTCAAATAGAAATAACAATAAAAAGTCAAATAAAAGGGCATAGCTACCTGGGAGACATATTTTGCGACCCAAATAAACCAAACTTGTGTTGGGTGTGGACAGCCTCACGTCTGGAAGCAAACTCAGGCAGTGACCAATATTCCCCTGGCTGACAGGGCAGAACCTACTTCATGCTTTGCACTGTCACTGTTTCTCTTCCTAGTCTATTAGTGGGATGGATGTAACAGAGAGACCTTAGATTTAGACTTCCCATCACTCAGTTTCTTCTTATACTGTCAAGCACAGACATCTGAACCTTTATTTCCCCCCATTCAGCACTTGGGCTTAGAAGGTACACCATGATCTCAAAAGTGGCCAGGTCCTGACAACAGATTAATGACTTCTTCGCATCTCTGACTGACTTTTCAGGAGACTGAGTTTCGGGCTTGATCCAAAGAGCACAGACATGCCACTGCCTCAGGATGATCTGCTAACACTGCTGACAACAGTGCAAGATGCACACAGGGAATCAGCCTCTACTGCCATACAGAATTACAACTGCAAAGGCAAAAGTCTCCTCTTCCTCCTTTTCTCAATACAGGCAGCCCCAAAAGAGGAGCTCAGATTCACACATCCCACAACCAGCCACAACGCAGTGCAGCACATCTGCAGATCACTGGGAGGGTAGCTGTTAAAAGAATAAGCTTTGGAATTCAGGAAGTCTGTATCAGATGCCCGAGCTTCCTTTCCTCCCCTGAAGGCATCACTGTTAGCCCCTGCATCCAGCATGTTCCGAGTTTCTCTGAAGCAACAGACATTTCAAAGAAAGAGTCATGGAACATCTGGAGCTGTGGTCATTTCACTGCACTTGCTACCTGTCATGAATAAAAAGATGAAATATTGCAGGAAAGGTATAATTTTCACATCTTTTTGATGTAGCTAACAGTGTCTATAAAAAAAAAAATGAAGCATGAAGTGCTCTTGGCCTTCTGAAATTCAAAGGAATGCACATCTGACCTCCTAACCAAGGCAAGAAGCCTTTATTCCAAGAGATACAGACCTCTAGGCTGCCCACCTCATACAACTGCTGCATTCCATGACTCAAATGAAGTCAAGACAAAACCAAGAAGCCTGTTTGTTAACACCTCCCCCCACAGAGCTGGCTGACCTCAATCACTAAGTTAAGGGTAACAGATGAAGTCCTTAGTGACCAGTATGTCTGCTGCGCCATGCAAGTGACATCAGTCACAAAAGATGGCTTTTGCTTAAGTAAAAATGAGTTGAATATTTTTGAAAGCATCAAATATCAAAACCCTCTGGAACAGGGGAATTCAATAGATCTAGTACGTTGGCATACTCCACCAACAGTCTTGGTAACTTCATTCACTATCATCCTGATCAACCCTTCCCTCATGAATCACAACTGTTAGGACAAGTTCAAACAAGTTCAAACATCCTGCCACCACTCCTTTTCCTTCTCTGCCTCTTCTCCAGGAAGAAAAGCCATTGGACGTTCTAACAGGCACCACTGAAGCTTTGGGTTTGCCCACAGAAAAGCACCTCTCGAACAAAGGCACTGTGAAAGGAAAACAATGTACACAAACTAGGGGAATACAGACACAAATAAAACTTCACAGTGTTTCTTGTGAACTGAAATTGAATAAAAGTTGGTTTTTTTTAATAGGAATTTTCCTCTGTTGCAGATCATCCAGTCACAAGTTTTCAGAATAGCTTGAAAACACATCTCTAAAATCTGGTGGTGTCTGCACCTTCATTGCAAGCCAGAATCTGCTCCCACCATGAGAAACACAAGCAGGATGAAGCCCTCAGTTTCCACCTAGGAAGCAAACTCATCTCTCATTGCAGGAGATGAAAAAGGATTTAATCTCAAACAATGAAGGAGACACTGTTACACAAAAGAGGTGCCATTTCTAAAGCCCTTTGCATGAGAAAAAGGGCTTGAGAAAAGGCTTTCTAGATACTAGATACTTTCTAGTTTCTACAAACTAGTCAGTAGGGATTGCTTTCTTACCAAAGAATTAGTTGCAGTTGCTTAAAAGTAAAATAAAACAATTCACACAAAAGAAAAGAGGGAAATTCCCAGCTTTCCAACATCTTAATTTTTTAACAAAAGACTTTTGCACTAGGTAGGTCTTCAATACACATCAGAAATCTGTACCAGCTTTCACAATGACCTAAAATATTGCCCTGTTTTGCTCCACAGGAAGAAATAGGCACGTGACTGGTGAACTTCAGGCAACAGTTCCAGAGCCCTGGGACAGGCTGCCCAGAGAGGTTGTGGAGTCTCCTCCTCTGGAGAGATTCCAAACCATTCTGGATGAGATCCTGAGCAACCTACTCTGGGTGACCCTGCTTTAGCAGGAGGGTTGGATGAGATGATCTCTAGAGGTCCCCTCCAACCCCTACCATGCTGGGATTCTGTAACTGCAGCTTTAGGTTTTAACTGACTATCCAAAACCTAAAAGAGAAAGGGATGACAACACGGGCAGGAAGTTTTGTGCTGAACAGAAGCGAATTTCAGTGATAAATCCCATGCAAGTACCTCTGAGAAGCAGCAGGAACACTGAAAGCCCAGAGTACTCTTATGGAGTCTACAGAGTGCTCCACTGAGCCGAAATGGAACTTCCCCACCATAAAAGCCGAAGGCTTTCAATCTGCTCTTTATACTTGGATGAATAATTCATTGGAGGCTCGGCCAGCCCCAACAGCTCCCTCCACGCAAGGCAGGGCTGGAGAGTCAGCACAAGCTGGTCTCTGTCCCACCACACAGGGCTCACTCCTCCGTGCGCCGGAGCGCGCCGCAGTGCCAGCCGCGTTCCGACAGCCCGGGACACGAGGAGCAGGGCAGAGCAGCTCTCCTGCAAAGCACAACACCTTGAACCCAGGCAGCACTGCAAAACCAGCCCAGCATGGCTCACCCTCGGGAACGCTGCTCCAGACCTTGCTGCCTGCCCTGCAGCTAAACTCAGTGCCTTCAGCGAGGCAGGAAGAAACGTGGTGGTGGTGGGAAAAGGTGGAAATGGACACCACTGTTTCTTGGGATTTGTTTCCAAGCTACAGGAATATGGGATGCTAGAAGAAACTCATGTTTCTGGAATGGAAAAAAAAATAACCACAGAAAATACCACATGGCTCACTAGTTAAGAAAAGGAATTGAAAGCCCAAAGAATATAAAGTCCTTTTTTTCCACGGAAGTTGAAAAAGAAAACAAGGCAAATCATGCAAAAGGGAGGAATGAAAAGTGGTGCATGAGAACCTGGACATGAGCCAGCAATGTGGTCTTGCAGCCCAGAAACCAACTGCATCCCAGGCTGCATCCAAAGCAGCAGGTTGAGGGAGGGGATGCTGCCCATCTGCTCTGCTCTGGTGAGACCCCCGTGCAGTGCTGGGTCCAGCTCTGGAATCCTCAGCACAGGAGAGACGTGGATCTGTTGGAGGAGGGCCAGAGAAGGGCACAACAATGATCTGAGGGCTGGAACCCCTCTGCTGTGAGGACAGGCTGAGAGAGTTTGGGTTGTTCTGCCTGGAAAAGAGAAGGCTCTGCAGAGACTTTATTGCAGCCTTTCAGTACTTGAAGTGGCTTATAAAAAAAACAGGGACAGTGTTTTTAGCAGAGCCTGTTGCCACACAACAAGGTGTGATGGTTTTAAACTAAAAGAGGGGAGATTTAGACTAGATATAAGGAGGAAATTTTTCACAGTGAGGGTGGTGAGACACTGGCCCAGGTTGCCCAGAGAGGTGGCAGATACCCCATCCCTCGCAACATTCCAAGTGAGGTTGGATGGGGCTCTGAGCAACTTGTTCTAGTTGTAGATGTCCCTGCTCACTGCAGTGGGGTTTGACTACAAGGCTTTGAAAGGTCTCTTCCCACCCAAACCAATCTATGACTTTATAAATTCAAAGGTGTACAAACACAAGGTTCTCCAAACCTCAGCCAGCTCTGTGTGGTTGAGAGAGTGGTCCAAGACAGAATTTGCATCTTATTCTCTGGGTCTTTATTCACAGGAGATTCAGCAATCTTAATTTTGAGAGCATGTATGCACAGCATGGAGCACTTCTCAGACTGCACAAGTCTACCATTTGCATTGGTGGCCACTTTGCTCCAGACCCCATTCCTTTGTGATTCAGTGAGTTACTGCACAGCCTTGCTATGGCAGGGCAGGACCATCAGCTTCCATCAAGCTGTTTGCAGAAGTGGACAGTGAGCTTAGTAAGCAGAACAGCTTTTGCCTTAAGCAGTTAACTGACATGCAGAAAGTGGACATGACAAAATCTTATAATAGGCTAAAAAACACTAAGCAGATTATTTTTTTGTAGGACACTCATGTTTAACATTAGCTTTTGTGTCTCGCTGGTAATTTCCACAGCAACTTCACTAAGGCCTTTCAGCCCATCTTCCTGAGACACCCGGAAGGCAGAGCTTGGCTGAAGTGGCTTAAGAGAAGAAAACCAGTCTGCAGCCCCCACCCAGGCCTTACTGGTTAAGCAAGGCAAGGCTGCCTATAAATGCTGCCTTTGCAGTTAGCATTTCCAGGCCCAGCAACCAGGACAGAACATTTTCACCTTCCCAGCCCCTCCCAATGGCTTACTTTCAACATTAAGTGAGCTGCATTTACTTGTACTCACACCTCTTCCTCTACTTTTAGCAGGTACCACAAAAGCCCAAAGCACTGCTTTGAACCAACCAGCAAAGCAGCTAAGTGCAAAAGCTTTGAGAAGATCTCCTCTTGGTCTCCTCCAGGCTAAACTTCCCCCTTTCAGCCCTTCCTCATCAGAGGGATGCTCCAGTCCCCTCCTCATCTGTGTAGCCTCTGCTGGACTCTCCTCAGTAGTTCCTGTCTCTCTTGAACTGGGGAGCCCAGAACTGGAAACAGTACTCCAGAGGTGGCCACACCAGGGCAGAGCAGAGAGGGACGAGAAAACCCACACACACACACCATTTGCCTTCTTGGCCACAAGAGCACACTGCTGGCCCATGAGCAACCTGTTGTCCACCAGGACTTCCAGGTCCTTCTCCGTGGAGCTGCTTTTCAGCAGGTCAACCCCTCACCTGTACTGGTGCAGGGGGTTATTCCTTTTCAAGTGCAGGACCCTACACTTGCCCTTGTTGAATATCATGAGATTCTCCTCCACCCAACCCTCCAGCCTGTCCAGGTCTCACTGAATGGCAGCACAGCTTTGGTGTGTCAGCCACTCCTCCCAGTTTTGTATTATTAACAGACTTGGGGAGGGTACACTCTGTCCCTTCATCCACGTCATTGATGAATGAGATGACGAAGCCCTTTCTCTGCCAAGAACGACCAGGCCCCTCTGAGCAATCACCTGCTAATGAAATGCCAAGCTCATGCATGTTCAGTAACAGAAATACAAGCCCATACTATCTTCCAGCCTGACAGCATCAATGGGCATCGAGCACATCCGGGGCCTCATGGACTCACCTAGCATGACAGCCCGGTGTTCAGCTCATTTTACTGACAGTGGGCTCTGTGTAGTGGCTCTGTAGCAAAGCCTAGTCACAAACTGTACTTTCAATCAATGTGATGCATTCACTCTTTGCTTCTCTAGCACACATCCTCCCAGGAATGGATTCCACCCGCACTGGTGCCAGAAGCAGAGCAAACAGTATCGCCGCAGTACAAACAAGTCCAGAGGCTCCAAGTGAAAAGCTCCAATGAAACAGTAAAAGATAGGACACAGGCAGCCCAATATTGCACTGTCATTAAAGCCAATTAGAACACTCTTGCTGGCATTCATCCAATGCCCGGAATCAAAGTTTCCAACCCAGGTGGAAACCTACTACATTAAACAAGCACAACAACTCAGCACATAGGCGTCATTTCTCAGAGATCCCATATCCTAATCTGCTGCCTTCTTTTCCCACCTAATACTTAGTTTGAACTGTGAAGAGCAGCATGTCCCTTTCACACACAAAGAATCATCTGCTGCCTGCAGAGAGGCTGGAGGACACTCAGCATTTCATTCTGCAAGACCTCCCAGCAGCTTTCCTCTGTTATAGATATCACACTGCCTTTCTCGCTAAGACCAAGCCCACAGGAGTGATTGACCAGTATTGGCAAAGGGAAGATTTTTTTCAGCATGTAGATAGTACTCAAATCCATCACTATATACCAAGTCATTTTCCTCCCCCTAACAAATACACTCTTAGGAAAACAGAGAGCAGAATTAAGATGGCAGACTGTTTGAAAGAGACCAATCTGTTACTTCTAAAACAAAAAAAGAAGAGAAGCAAAACCCGTAAGACATCTAAAACATCATAAAAGATCTGTAAATCCAGCCCTGAGCACACACTCCCAGCAAGAGCAGGAACAGAAGGAATTGAAAAGTGTGCTACTATATGATGCAGCTGAAATAGTTGCAAAACCCATAAGACATCTAAAAGATCTGTAAATCCAGCCCTGAGCACACACTCCCAGCAAGAGGAGGAACAGAAGGAATTGAAAAGTGTGCTACTAGATGATGCAGCTGAAATAGTTCAAGTTCTCAGAGACATGGTAGGAAAGAGTGGCAAATAACAGCAAGAGAA